ATTCGATCCCATTCGATCCCAAACGCTTATATGAAAAATACGGTTCTAAATTGTAATAATGCAAAATTTCAGATAGAACTAATTATGAAGATTTTTTTTTTGCTATTTACGGGTTCATTTTTCTATTGTAAACAATATAAAAAAATTGTGGAACATTGTTTTTTCAATAGAAATAAACAACCAATCAAAATAAATTTCTATCTTGCTTACAATAATAAGCTCGAATTAAAACTCAAAGAGCTCGAGTTAAAACTCAATCAGCCAATGGCATGATAACATGCTGTATTACGGATAACCGATAATTCGATTTAATTATCTGAAATCAATATTTTATCCGAATAATTTGTCATATTCGAATTATCCAAATTTTCAGATAAAAAAGTTCCATCTCTAGACTGTACAATATCTCCCTAGACACAAAACGCACGTTTGACTGATTTTTTTACATATGGTCCGTTACAGTGCATTTAGAAAGATCTGACAGTGTAAATTTTAATGCAAATTAACATTTGTCTTTTATTACATTCATGTATTTCATTAAATTAATGTAACGATAATTTTTTAAAATTTTATTATAAAATGAAAGGTATTTCGTGAATAAAAATAAAATTTAAATCTATCAACTAAATTTAACAATGAATAGAATAATCACTGTTATCTTTTTTATTCATTTGCTATTATCAACTATCAATGCTAGACAGAGTCACCATTTGCCACCTTCTAAAACATGTACTGTTATTGATATTAGCACTGAAACTCTAACATCTACTATAAACTGCAATACTGAAACACCTACTCTTATCGCTTGTCCTGATAATCAACAAGTACCTGAAGATTGTGATAAATGCCAAAAAACGAAAACCGTAACTTGTACTCCTACTATGACTGTTTGTGCACCTAATTCTGAAGATAATTGTTGCCAAGATAATGGAGCTGGAAGAAATGATTTAACAACGAACAGGATTTATGAAGGTTCTGGTGACAGTGAATTTTATAATGTAACTGATGCAGTAGAATGTTGTAAATTATGTTATAAAGATCCTTTCTGCTTTGGCTTTTATTTTAACGCTTATTATGACAATTTCTGTCAATTCTTGGGTAATAGTGAAAACCCTTCTTGCAATCTTTTCCCTGAACCATCGACGCCTGAACGTGGTATATATTACGGCATGGTTGGTTGCAATAAATGTAAAGCATAATTTTTATACATTTAACTAGAATATGTTCATGTAGGCGGCTTCGCCGCCTGATTAACTAATTACATAGAAATTAGATTGTATTGTGTGATGGTAATTTTCTAAATTAATTCAAATGAAATAGAATGAGAAGCATTGCTTGATAGTAAATATTTATAAACTTGAATAATCTATTAAATATCTCATTTTATAAATATTCATTTTCGCTTATATAAATTAAATTAATATAAAATTCAGGATAAGTTGGTGGTGGTCTCTATACAACACTCACATAGTTTAATACAAATTAAATAAATAAAAGTAAAATTATAAACTTGCTTGACCTATTTCAAATGTTTATACTTAATTGCCTTATCTATTTAATTAGTGCGGTGGTTGAAGCCAAAACTTTGATCTATTTTATTACGAAAATTTTTGTTTTATTTTTAGTTTTGGTAATAGTTAGATTAGAATTTAGAACTAGAATTTAAAACTAGAATCATTGTGATTATACTAATGATTGACTCCCCAATAGGTCTTGCATACGCGTACCATTTACAATAGGGATGTTATCCTGCTTGTCCAAACTCAGTTTGAGCCTGTTTGAAATCCAAACCTGTTAAACACGTGTTTCTGTAAATGCGTGATTGAATTAGGAATTTTTTAAACTTAGTACTGCTCATAGTGCTCAAATTGGGTTTCATGATTTGTAATTTAATTTTTTTTAATTAAAAGTTAAGTTCCATGACGTAAATGATGTAAATGAGTTTTCGCATTATTTTTTTTATTCATTAAAAGCTATGCTTTTTTTTTAAAAAAAAAATATGCATCTCCTTGTAGAAGCATTTTCAATTACTATAAACATGCAACATTTTTATCTTCACACGTAATATTTTTTTTTCTTTTATCTTCACACGTAAAATTTTGTTTTCTTTTATCTTCACACAACATTTTTTTCTTTTATATTTATACGATGAAGAAAGCACACTCAAACAACCTAATAAATAAATAAATTTATCTCAACAACTATTTTAACATTATCACAGCATACATGACAAACCATCCCTCAAAACGATTTAAAACTGATTCCTTCTGAGATGAGTTTATTGAAAGTAGTGACAATTAATATAGCAAACATTTCAGTCAAGCCTCTTCAATGAATACAGGTCTTTCTACGATAAAAATGCATTTCAAACGTAATCATCTGGAAAGTGAATAAATTAATAGGAAGTATTAATAAATGGATGTTGAGCCATCAGAAGCAAATTTTTAAGTTGAAAATTGATATAGATCTGAAGAAAATGTTGGCACAAGCCTTTGTTTAAAATGTGGTATAAATCGGATGATTGAATACATAATTGAATATATGATTGAATATATGATTGAATATATAATTGAATATATAATTGAATATATAATTGAATATATAATTGAATATATAATTGAATATATGATTGAATATATGATTGAATATATGATTAAATATATAATTGAATATATAATTGAATATACTGTAGTAAAAATATTATATGAGAATAATAATAAACCAATTGTATTTTTAGATATAATAGATATTTTTGTTATTTAAATAATATACAACTTAAAAGCAAACAACTACAATTAATAAAACTTATTAATTACTCAAAACTAATAATTTTACATACAAAAGCCTTAGCTAAATTAGCTTTAGCAAATCTAGTTTATTATAATATTATTAACTAAATTATCTTGCTTGAATAAAAGATTACTACAGCTTACTTAATATTTATTATAATAATCTAGAATATAGTAAAAAAATAAAAACAATTTACTTTCATTATAGTAAATTTATTGGGCAGAAAAAATAAATTTTTATTATAGTTTAGATTATATAAAGTTGTTTTTTATTTTGCATTATTGCCAACTTATTTTTTCTAAATTTTAATTTTTTTTAAGCCCTAAGCCCAAATGGCCTTAAAGCAAGCCAAAAATGCAAATAGAGAAAGACAAAAATGTTTTATTAAACTTTTTAAAAAGTATGAATGTTTATGAAAAATGTTTATTTTAGAAAAAGAATCCAAAATCAATAAAATAGTTTAAAATCTAGAAAATTATTCTGCTCACAAGACTGATTTGTTATCCAATTAGAGGAGGGCCAGAAAACACATATTGTTTTTTGGAGAGAGGGGATCTTTTTAAAAAATACGTTTATATATAAAAAAATCTGAAAGATAAGAAACCTAGGGAAGGGTAATTTTGTTAAAATACAAAACACGTGTTTTCTGGCCCTCCCCTTATACTAATTATTCTATTTTTACTATTTAATAATTTTTATAAATTAATATGATATTATTCAATAGTGACTTGGTTTTCTTGATAAAATTGATAGAAAAATAATTTGACTATTAACTTAATTTTCTGATTTTGTATTATACAAAGTGAACCTCTAACTTTGTACAGTTTTAGATATAAATATGAGCTCATTAATTTGCTGTAGATTTAAAAAAAATCTAATTGACTAACCAGAAATTTTGAAATTCATGTAATACAAAATAAAAAATCAATTTTGTGTAGTCTTATATTGAGAGAATACTATATATACTTTGCTATATTGAGCTAAATTTTGATAATTCTGTATTTAAAATTTTTTACTAAATTAAATCTTTACTATATCAAAAGTTTATTATAATAAGAGTAAGTTATAGTAGTTTATTATAAATAAAAATTTTTTTGCAAATTCTTATATTACAATATTCTTTATATATATATTTTAAATTTTGTTACCACAATATAATGCATATTTAAATCTAATATTTGTCTTTTTCTTGTTATTAGTTACTTGTATTATCAAAAGCTTATTAGGTCAAATAGGGTATAGTCAATCAAAATATACTATAGTGAGATTAAAAAATTATTAATAAAAAATTAATTATAATATAGAATGTTTTTAATTAATTATCTATGTTAATATTTGACATAATTTATTATACTGAGTAAGTTGTTACAATAACATATTATAATTAATTTTGTATAATAATTTTTCAATTTTACTATGGTATGTATTGCTTGATAATACTCCAAATAGTTGTAATATCTGCACTCCTATTTTCATCTACCATATGATCAATCCGTATACTTACTAACATTCTACAAGAAGCTCAAATATAAAACAAAGAGTTGTGGCTCTTTTTACAGAATATGAGTAAAGCATACTACTCTGTATATATATCTCTACTTCAATATGCATTTAACTATATTCGCATCCCCAATACAATTTAGCAACTCATTATCAACATCTTTTCAAACTGTTAAAACTTAGTTATTACAAACCTTGGTCTTATATAATACTATGATAAACAGGATAGAATTGATCAAAGAGAAACAATTATACTATTACTCTAGTATATATATTTTGAACTTCTTATTACCTATATTTTAACTAAATTCACAAGATACACAATGGCTATACAATTACCTTTATATAACTCAATTACTTACAACACTTTTGTACTAGCTTATATAGACGATACCTTATAGCTTGCCTTTAGTAAACAATATCTGTTGATACTGCAACTTCATTCTACAATATGTTACATATTATTATAAATCTATCAAAATCAATTCTAGTTACCAATAGTATAATTGATCCTACACCAACTATTTGCTTTGCTGATTCTATCATTTTTGCTACTCCAAAAAAAGAAGCATTTTGTTACCTTGATTGCTAGTTTGTTATCACCAACAACCATAAAACCATTTATAACCAGTGTTGTCACAGGACAGTTGTGGACAGTAAGTTTGAACACTTTGGACAATTTTAAACAATTAAATAAATTAAAATTACTCAAAATTTTATTAAGATAACCTATATTAATTTCTAAGTAAAATATGTTCAGCATATAAAAAAATATATAATTATATATTTTTTAAACAAATTCATTAATTATTAAAGCCTGGACATGCTCTGGACACTTGTAGACACTTGGACACTTGGACATTGGACAGTATCAAAAAAGCCTTTGGACAGTCAAATGTATAACACTATTTATAACTATATAACAAAGGAGAATACTAGCCTTATAAAAACAATTAAAAGAAAAAAAATAACAGACAAACAAGCTATATATATTATTAATACAGTTCTTATCTCATGATTCTTCTACAAAACACTTAATAAATTTATATATCAAAACATATGCTCAAAAATTATCAGCCAATATATACAAATTGTTAAGTACAAGGCTGCTCACAAGCTGTATCCCCAACACAACTATATTTTACCACCAAATATACAGGCTTAGACAACTTAAAAAATATATAAGTACAAAATTATATCTTTGTATTACATAATCTAATTAACAACTCTATTACTATGCTATCTATTAAAATATACTTATAGTATCTACAAAATATCACTATAACACTAATTAACATACTACAGTTATCACAATTTATACTACTTACCAAATATAATTGCATACTTACGGTACAAGTAATTTATACAATATACTAACTTAATCTTACAATTCTTAACTTATCTAATCTATAGCCTATGTCTACCAAATATCCTAGTACAACAATTGACCAACTAATCAAATACTGTCCAAAATCTAACTATATAAAAATATTTACAAACTGTGCAAATATTTATGCAATTGAATAGCTCACAAACTATACAAATATACAACTACTTACCTAGCATCAACTGCTCTATAAAATCCAAAAAATCATATAAGATTAGACACCAAAGTGGTTTCTGGAGCTTTACAAAATACTATTTGAATCTATACACTATATATACCAACTGCAGTGTTGTTACAAGACAGTTGTAGACAGTAAGTTTGGACACTTTAAACAATTTTGAACAATTAAATAAATTAAAATTACTCAAAATTTTATTAAGATAACCTATATTAATTTTTAAGTAAAATATGTTTAGCATATAAAAAAATATATAATTATATATTTTTTAAACAAATTTATTATTTATTAAAGCTTGGATATGCTCTGAACACTTGTGAACACTTGGATACTTGGATGTTGGACAGTACCAAAAAAGCCTTTGGACAGTTAAAATGTACAACACTACTAACTGTAAGTCTCAATCATTTATGACTAACAAAATTACTTTATTATAGACTAGTTGAATACTAGAAACAGTCTAAAATATATCAATCATCAGAAAAGTTTTTAAAACTAAGCTGCCAGAAAACAATATACAGGTTACATATTGCTACTTTCAGACTCAGAGATTAATACTCTACCACTTACTTGCTGTACTTCTTGTATATTAACAACAGCAATTAACATATATAGACAATGTATTATTATTATCTTTTACAATATTGTATTACAATTTAAGCTACATATTCAAAATACTTATGTACTAACATTTCTGATCTAATTTCTAATTACCCCTCTTCAATAAGAAATAACTATAGCAAATCAACAGATCACAAGGCCTATCTATTACTTTACTG